AACATAAAATGCAGGAAAAATGAAATTATTTTGATCACGTAAACAAAAAGGAGGGACTGCTAACAGCAGATTCTTCAAGGTAAAATAAATGGAAATATATGTGCAGGAGGAAACTATTGACTGAGGAAGCTTGGAGACTGGATTGAATCCAGTGTAACATCAATGCTGCTACATCCAATATTAGAAAGATTGTGATGACATCTTGGTAAGAGACAAACAGGACGGAGAACTAAGCATATATACTAAGAACAAAGTCCTAGTTAGTTCCATGTGACTGATTTCTGAGTCAAAATGTGACAGATCAGGCTAGACTGCTTTGCAGGAACACATAGTTCAGTGATCAACCTACTTTTCAAGTTGAGACAAGGAAGTGGAAGTCTTGTTTACCTTTATTCAAATGTCAGGTAAAACATTTATGGCTGCTAGCACAAACAAAAATAGGGTAAAATGCTGGAGACAATAAGGTAATAATAGTTGTAATAATATTAATTATTAATGAACATTAAAAAAATATTAGGAGGACAGCATGTCGTTCCACAGGCGAGTGGCTTATAATATTGAGATGCTCCTAAAAGTAAAAATTATGTAAGATTTCTAGTAGTGTTCAGAAATGGTAAAGAGTTACTTTTGACAAATTATTATCTGTAAGAATAGCTAGGGAATTTCAAAGTATTGGAGAAATGTAATTAGTTGCCCTTTAAAAGATAATTTTCCAAGACCAAGATCCAGTCCATTGCATTTTGTGTCCATAGAACTGACCAAGACTGAGGCAAGCTACACATTACATGTCAAAACACCAAAATTTTTGCATATATAAATGTCATTTGATGGGCAGTTTCCTTTCTCAGAAACCAGCTGAGAGACCAGTTTTTCAGAGGTATGTTATTCTCTAGTTGAATACTAGTGTTTCTTACACTTTCTGGCCATCACAACAGTTCAGATTAAACAAAGGATGAATAAAACATTCAATTCTTATAGGAGCTTAATTTTTTTTAAATTTCACCATAACACTATTATCATCATCAGTATTTATATTATCAGTAGGGACAGCCTTACCATTAGATGGAGTGACATATGTTTTATAGAAACATCTTCCCTTTCAACCTTATTAGGATTTCTGGAAAGAGTACTGATAAGTTATTGCTCTCAAAGTCATTTAAGATGCACCGTTCCTTTTTATAAACCATCAGAGCAATTGAAGAGCTGACTGATACATAATTTAGATGTTAATGAGTAAACATATTGACTGTATTATGAAGAAGGCAAGAAAATCAATTTTGTGCAACTGATATTAAAAATTATTCGCTAGGTCTTTGGACACAATCTAAAAAACAACAACAGTGTCCGTCACTCAGGGTCAAAGATTGTTTTTGGATTGAAGAGTTGCAAGCCATTTGAAAAGGTTCAAAGCTTGATCAGTTGGCTAAACTGAGTCGTAAATCCCAGCTAGATTTAACACTTTAATGAAGCAAAAAAATGGAAGATGAAATTGTGAAGGACTGCATGTTAAAGTGGGCTCAAAATATAGGACATAATATAGAATTAAGTGCCTGGTCACAAATTTGGGAACGAAATATTAAAATGACTAAATCTATACATCTAAAAGAAATATATACAAAATGTTTTATAAATGATATGTAACACCAGAGAAATTAACAAAAATGTATAAAAATGTTTCTAACAAGCACTGGAAATGTGAAAAGAATGTAGGGAGCTTCTATCACATGCGGTGGATGTGCAATAAGGCCAAGGAATTTTGGAAAATGATTCATGAAATGATAGAGAAAATTTTAGGGGTTAAAATTGCTTTGACACCAGAAAGCTTCTTACTGAATATATTACCACCTATACTTGAAAAAAACAAGACCTAATTGACCCTGCACCTGATAACGGCAGCTAGAATTGTATATGCCACTAAGTGGAAGATGACAGAGATCCTGACAAAGAAGGAATTTATTGAGAAGATTTTGGAACTAGCAGAAATGGATATTTTGACAGATACATTAAATGACAGACTGGATAATAATAAATGGGAACCTCTTTATACCTGGATGAAACCTACATCAACTTAAGTAGAATAGATTAGATCAATACTATGTTAGAGAGTATAAGATAAGATTAAATGAATGGAATATATTGTAATAAATCACTCTGGTTGCAACGGATTGACAAGTAGAAAAAATACAATAAAAATAATTTTTTAAAAATTTAGCCCACATTTTCTAATGGTTGCAGTAATATTTTTAGGGTCATGGACATGCAACATGTAATTAGATGCCTTTTAAAAGTAACTTCAAATTTCTAGATTCAACCCATTTCATTTTCTGTAGGGGCACATTGAGCATCTATCTGGCCATTCCCAGAGGGTTAGATTGGGGAATTACCCCTCCTCAGCTCTCATGCTTAACACTGGAACCCCACAAGGATGTGTGTTGTGTCCTAAGATCAACTTCACTGTTGTCCCTTCCAGGTTTTGGTAGCAGCCTGGTGGATGGGACAGCAGCTGTTGTGGATAACTTTCCCTCTCCCCAATTAGCATAGAGGCTGAGTAATTAAGGAGGGGTGGAAACCTCTAAATGAGAGGCAGGGGTTTTATACATACATATGTGTGTGCGCACGCGTGTTACGTGTCTTCAGTAAATTGTGTGGAATTACTACTGTGTCGTGGCTCTTATTTGGCATCGAATTCCACTATTCAACAATGTGTGTTGAGCCCTTTACTTTACTCATTGTCTACATATGATTGCACACCCATGCATCAAAATAATATTATTACCAAATTTGCTGATGATACAACAATGGCAGGACCTATTTCTGAGGGGGATGAATTAGCCTATCAGGATGAGGTGAATCGACTGCTCTCATGGTGTGAAAATAACAACTTGACCCTTAACATCAAGAAGACCACGGAGCTTATAGTTGACTATAGAAGAAATAAATCAGATATTCAGCCCTTGGTTATAAGTGGAGAGCAAGTGGAATGGGTAACCAGTTTAAAGTTTCTGGGTGTTATCGTCGAGGAGGACCTGTCCTGGGGCACTCATATTACAGCAGTGGCGAAGAGGGCCCAGCAGAGACTATATTACCTGAGACTTCTCAGGAGACAACAACTAAATGGAAAACTGATTCTACCACTGTATCATAGAGAGGATTTTAACCTATTGCTCTGGTATATGGTTTGCTAACGGTACAATGGCAGATAGGAAAATGCTCCAGAGGATTATTACAATGGCCCAGAGGATCATTGGCTGCCCTCTTCCCACTTTGGAAGATCTCTATAATTCCCCATGTCTTAGGAAAGCCCAAAATATTCACAAAGATCCATCCATTCCCTCTTTCAATTTTTACCATATGGTTGGCCAGTATAGGATAATTAAAACAAAGACAAATAGGTTGAAAAACAGCTTCTATCCCAGAGCTGGAGCTATACTGAATTCCCCTGTACAGTATAGTGCAATATTAATGTGTTGTGCGATGGGAAATTGCATGTGAAGGATGCGGCTGTGAATGAGAGGGATGTGTTTCATGTGTAACATGCTATGTTTTCGTGTTATGGATGCTATGTTCTTGTGTGTTTTTATTATTATGTGTACTGGAGATGGCATTTAATTTCATTGTACGGAAGTACAATGACAATAAAGTAAATTCAAATAAATATTGGATCCTTAAGCTGTAAACGGATACTCTGTGATGTAGGATGGACTAGGACTCAGGAGATCATCTTAGAACTGCATTGCTCGAAGGGGCTCTATGGATCACCCCCAAAAGAGAGGGAATTTCCCAGATCCCCAACTGTGGGGGGACCCACCCTCACTACCTCCGTCTTGTCCGGGTTCAGCCTTAGCCCGTTCTCCTGCATCCATTGCAGTACAGTCTCCAGGCAGTGACGAAGGGACAGAACGGCATCTCCTGCGGTTGGCAAAAAGGAGATGTAGAGCTGAGTGTCATCCGCATACTGATGACACAAGGCTCCACACCCCCTGGTGAGCCCACCCAGCGGCCTCATATAGATGTTGAACAGCATTGGGGAGATAATTGACCCCTGCGGAACTCCACAATTGAGGCTCCACGGGGCCGAGACACTCTCCCCAAGCTGCACTCTCTGGGAACGGTCCTCCAAGAAGGAACCTCATATGAATCTGGTTAACGAAGCCTGAGAGCCCTCAGGCTACAGATGCCGGGGTGAGACACCTGACCAAGGCGCCCTGAGAAGTAGACTGGAAAACCTATGGCCCTCCACCTGTTAATAACACCTCTCAGTGGAGTCTATCAACAAGTGGTCTGTGCCATTCACTGGGAACCACATGCTGAGTCTTGGGACATTGCAGTGGATCACACATTTTACAGTCAGCACAACCAATTCTGGTTCTTGCAAAACCAAAGAACAACACTTCCCAATTTAAAATGAAGGACATATTACCACCATCCATTTTATCTCAGTGCAGTCTTCAGCTTTCAAATACCTCAGGTTCCTCAATATTTGAAAAGGGGACTAATGGAGGAATGTAAAACTTTTTGCCCTTCAGGTGTTTTTAAGGAAAACTCCCACAACCTCCATCCTTGGCTATGCTAGAGTGACACTTCTATAGCAACAAAGAATGAAGTTGTCTGGTTTTTGGTTAATGTGTAAGCACTTGCAGAAACCATTTTCAGAACAAATTCAAAGCTTCATAGGTAGCTCTGTTTCTGCATGGCAGGCCAACAGGGATGGGGTTGGAGACAAGAGAAATGCTTCATCTGGGATATGGAACAGGGATATGGAACAAAGTTCCTGCACCTTTTGGTTGCTGTCAGAAACAGTGAGTTTAAGCCACTCAGCCACTCAGCTATACTAGCTGAGATTCTTTTTCTACATGTTAATGGTGGAGAAGCCACCTCTTCTTCTGCAGATAGAACAATGCTGAACAAGTATAAAATCCAAAGTGACTAAGTGTCATAGAAACAAATGATACAGAGAGAGAAGTTCCATATAAAAGTAAGACACAACTCTTATGGATACGTTGAAATGTTCAGTGTTTATTTTAAAAGTTGTAACTTTGGGCAACTTGCTGCTTAAAAAAAAATTAAAAAAAGAACCTATGATTTAGCCAGTGCACAAGCTATCCATATCACAAACTTGTGTACATAAATGACATTTACATTAAGTTTAAAAAAAAGTATCACATATTCCCATCAAGTAAACATCAAAGAGGCTCAAGGTTAAAAAAAAAACCTGACAACAAAATCACAACTCAGAGCTTGGAAGAAACCAATGCAACCACTGCATGTATTAGTAACATGTGCAAGTAACCAGTTTGAAGTCCTTTCTGGTGCAGAAATACCTCGATGGCCTCATAAGGTATGTGGTGAGACCAACAAGCTGGAGTTTATTCCAATGGTTCATCTCAAACTTAAGACTGTTGTGGCTGTACTAGCCACTCCTTTACCTATAAAATTATACTAGAGGATAGCTAGCTGCTGTAGCTATACCGCAATGGTTATTTCGGTCTTTGGCCATAAGAATATAGCCTTTGTCACCCCACTTCTCACTCCAGCTGAAAGAAGAAGAAGAATACAGTGTTAGGATTTGGAAAAAGAACAGGTATATCAAAAGAATGTGCTCTGATGCTTGTCTCTTCCTACCCCACCACTTTTACCTCTTGTCTCATGTCTATGGAGCCTACAGGCGAAGAATGCCTTATCTTACTGCCTGTTCAGTACTCTTAGCTAATGATATTTGCAGCAATGAGGCTGGCCTCTTGATTGGAATCCAGCAGCTGAGTCCGTCTGCAGTTCCTTCTGACCTCCCCTCCCAAAACAACCCCATTTACACATTTTTTTTCTTGATTTTAAATTGCAAGGAACTTTGGGGAATGAATCGTGGCTGGAAAATGTGATATAAAAATACTGAATTTAGTTTTAGACCAATTAAAGACTGTAAATAGGCAAACATGCTAATCAAATGACATAGCAAGTTTGTTCTGAAAACTACAAGCTGAAAAATAAACAGCAAAACATAAGGCTTCTAGCTTATATGCTATGGAACTTTGTAAAAAATTAGTTACAGGGCAACAAATCTTCAGACAAGCATTCCACATGTTGCCTGGGGATGATGGGAGCTGTAGTCCAATATAGCTGCAGAGTGGCAAATCGGGAAGCGGTGGGCTAACAATTGACCTAATGTATGTACTTGAGGAAGACCCTGCAGTAAAGAAAACCGCTTAAGAGGTTTAGTTCCTGTTCAGCTGCCTTATCCTACATCACAGGTGGACAGCGACATATGCTTTGGCAACAGAGGAAAGGAATTCTTAGCCCACAGAAATATCCCAGCACCTGATATTTTAATTAATTAATTAAGTACACACATAGCATTTTGGCATGGCTGAACCATTCAGGAGCAAGTTGTTTTAATAGTCAAATAAGGTGGGTCTGCATCTCTGAATGCCTCTCCTCCCCCAAATTCCTGCACATGGAAAGAGATCAAACACCAAAAAGAACAGGAAGGAAGATGCTCCATTTCAATATACCTGTTTTTGACAATCCAGTACTTCTTCTTGCTATCTTCCTCTGAACCTTTAAAACCATAACCCACAACAAGAACACCATGATCCAGTTCTTCACTACTGCAGTCTGGTTCATAATAAATACCTAGAAACAGAAAAGTTGGTTAGTTTCCAGAAAGAGTTGTTTTCCTTTAGGTTTGGGTCCAGAGCACCTAGTCTTCCACCCGATATAGAACTCTCATAGAACATCGTGTTACAGTATACAGAGTTAGACCACTGGTACTGCCTATGCTGACGGGTAGTGGCTCTCCAGACCTTTTGGCACATGTCTCTTCTACCAGGTTAGAAGCTACTTTGCATGTTTTGACCTATGCAGGATAGCAGCAGCATCACTTAGCTCTGGGTAGTGCAAGAAACAGAGTGAGGATCCTACATATCCCCCTCAACAGCTTTGTAAAAAGCAAGGTTCCCCACCTCAATCCCAGTTCATCATTGATTTCAGCAAATAAAGGGGGAAAGTGGATGCTGTAATTATACTTTTTTGCAGGAGGGAGAAAAAGTGCCAAGAGACTTGCCATCGCAAGGAGCTCCACATAAATTGAAACAAGATTCTCTGCAATGTCAAAGTCTCCCAGTAAAGCGTTCACCTCTCAAAGAGGCTGGAGAACATCAGGGGGGCTTACTAATCCATCTTTTTGCTAGAGAAGAGAACTGGTGCATTTCCATACAGAATTTTCCATACAAAAACATTAAGCAATATTTAATATTCTGCAACAGGCAGAATAGGTTCTCTCCATTCCCAGTCCTCCAACACAAACAGAGATCTTTGAAGATGGTGAAGCCACTAGCAGTCCAAAATAACAACTAATTAGCAAGTAAACCTGAAGCTACTGTAGTAGATGGCTGAAAGGCTGGAGATAATAGCTATTAATCATCATCATCAATATGTCGTCAATTCTGATTTACGAGGACCCTTTCCAGGCTTTTCCAGGTAGCAAATTCACAGAAGCGGTTTACCATTCCGTTTGTCTGGGGGCGCCCAGAGACTATGCAGCTTATCCGGGGCTTCACAGGATGGCTAGGAGGCACAGTGAGGAAATTAAACTTCCAACTTCTAGCTCCACAGTCAGATAATTAAACCATAGTTGTTAGCCATTAGCTGTTTATCTAGCATAGCTGTGTAGCCTAAGTACGTTCAAGGATAATGGCACAGTGTTCTTTAAGGTGGTGTTGGCTATATTTCTAAAGGCAAGGAATGGTTTTTTTGAAGCAGAGGATCCCTTTCCTAATACTGCAGTATTAATGTTGTTTCCAATGTGGTAATTTTCCAGTCTTCTGCATAAACATCTCTGTAAGGCAATATAATACTTGAATTTCAGCCTTCTCCAATGTAATGTCTGCCTTATATGTTGGATTACAACCCCATATCACTCTCAGCAGGCATCTGTGGACTATGGAAATTATAGTCCAACATGTTGAAAGAGCAGTGGGTTGAGAACAGTTGCCACATTCACTGAAGTATATTAAGAAGCATTTTCATACATGCGAGTAATTCCTTACCCGATTCATAAAACTGGAAGCTGGAGTGACCGGCATCAATAGCCACAGAGACTGGCCCAACGGCAGCCACTGCTTTCATGAGTGCCCTTTCATGCCCTTCTGGGATGTCCACAAACCCAGTGTCATTAGCAGCATTATATTCGGACTTGTACATGCAGTCTTCATCATCCTTGAAAAAAAAAAACAAGAAATGTGGATTATCATTCAAATGTTAAAATCCAGGAAATAAACTAGCAATCTCACACAAAACCTGATGTTCTAATTTATATATATGTATGAACACTGCTCAGCAGTCCTGACAATATAATACTCTTCAGATCAAAGCTGTTGACACTTGTGAGTTAGTCTCCACTCTTCCTTACCTCCCTCAAGACATTTTGTGCAGGTATGTTTAAAAAAATCACAAAAATGTCACAAGGTTTGAAGTTTGGAACAAAACCAACTTCCATCTACAGAAGCAGGAATTTCCTGGATCAATGTACCTTCTCTTAAACATCACCAGTAAGTTTTTATTTATTACTTTTCTTAGTCACTGAAAAACAGTCTTTCCGTCAATCATATCCAAACTTCTACGCTACAATGTTGTTAAAACAAGCAATGTCACCATTGCAAAACTTGGTGTTGGGGGCATCAAATGCAAAGTTTATACACGCTAAGTTGCTCTCAATATAGCAACGCTCTACCATCACCTACACTGAAAAGACAAAAATCTACTGAGGCTAAGAAAACGCTGCCGGAAATAACTGTAACTTAGCACAACCAGGTAACTATTCTAATTTTATGTGTATTTAGAGAATGTTCATCAACTGTTCTTTTGGTCCTTCCACAATCTGATAAAAGCATTTAGAGGCATTTTGTCCTGTGCCTATTAATGCTTCATTGATTTTGTTTTCAATTCCAACCACACTACCGGCTTGCTTTGTCCAAGTACAGGTTCAATGTATCCAGCAACTGCAAGCCAGTTAAGTTAAAGCTATAGTACCTTTGTTGAAACCTTTCACATTTCTACAAGCAAAAAAGGAGAAGAGGGAGAAAAAAAACAGTCTCTCATTTCCCTTTGTTTCACTGCCACTAACTTAGAATGTCCCTTCATAACAGTGGAACTCTAACCATGAGTTTTTAAAACACGTTTTCTGCTACTGCTTCTTCCCAGGGATCTGTTGACATGGGAGACCGGATTTAAAAAAAAAACTGTGGGAAAGGCAAGGCTGACTGTGAAGAGATAAAGAACCATTAGCCACGACGCCACCATACCTTAGCAACGTACGGGTAGGAATCCTCTGAATCAATGCCACCGTTGATCTTTATGTACTGGAAAGCCTGGTCCATGAGGCCACCGTTGCAGCCCTGGTTTCCTTCAGGCCGAGAACAATCCACCAGATTCTGCTCACTCAAGGACACCAGCTTGCCAGTTTTGCGGAAGTGCTGTCCCTCAAGGGAGCCCGTTGTACTGAATGCCCAGCAAGAGCCACACTGACCCTGGAAACAAAAGAAAACCACATTTGGCTTGCTGGTAGATGTGACAGGGTAACGTCCTTGGTTCAGCAGTGAGAAACAATATTATTATTCCACTGTGTGTCAAACTCCCATCCCGATTAAAGGTACGAGTATACCATGGGGAAAAATACGAAGGGATACCCTGTGAAGTTGCATCAAAGAAGCTCAGTTTCCCTGGGTTAATTTCCTTCAGTTAACTAGGCAGGAATCAGCAGAGAGATGGGAGGAAATCAGCCTTGTTACCTGTTTGAATCCTGTCCTCCCCACATTGGTGCTTGGGGTGGGCTTTGATCTTCCCTTCTCCTAGTTTCTTTCTTCCCTCTTTCAAAGGCTTGCTGTCCTAGCAGTAGGGCATCTTGCCAATAGATCTTGCCTACTGCAGGGATGTGGAAGCTTCCCCCCCCCCAAATGTTTTGGACTACAACTCGCATAAATTCCTCCTGGCACAGCGTGTGTAATGGTAACTGTAGCTAAAACCACCAGAAGTCAAAAAAGGCTCTTAACCCGTTCTACTTCATGCTCATAAATTCTCTGTACTGCGGTCTGCCCTGCCCCACCTTTGACTATAAACTCTTTTTGACAAAGCTAGCGTTGGTGACAAAAGGATTATAAAAGTGCAAGGACAACAAGTTAGCTGGCAACTTCAGAAGTCATTGCACTCAGCCACTTCCTGATATGAACAACAAACAGCAGAAGCTGGCAGGGAGACAGTGGGGGAGGGGATTGCTCAATGGAACTACACACTATAATATTGTCACAGGTAACTCAATGTCTCTAGGATTAAGAGAAACAAGCTACACTTCAGATGTAACGCAAGGTAGTACCCTACCTCCTCTTCACTGCCACTTTCAGAACTTGGTCCCTAGACAGTGTGCCTCGCTTGACCCAGCGTGGCGCAGTGGCTAAACCGCTGTACTGCAGCCAAAACTATGCTCACGACCTGGGGTTCAATCCCAGGTAGCCGGCTCACGGTTCACTTGGCCTTCGCAGTGGTTAAACTGCTGTACTGCAGCCAAAACTGTGCTCATGACCTGGGGTTCAATCCCAGGTAGTCGGCTCAAGGTTCACTCAGCCTACCATCCTTCCGAGGTCGGTAAAATGAGTACCCAGCTTGCTGGGGGTGGGGGGAAATGTGTAGCCTGCATAATTAACTTGTATGCCGCCCAGAGAGTGCTTAAAGCACTATGGGGCGGTATATAAGTAGCATGCTTTGCTTTTATATCCATTCAGCCATCCCCAAAACTTAGAAAATGAACTTTTTGCCACTTTATCATTTAGTTGTTTTAGCACTCAATTCTAATGTTGGAAACCGCTTGGTTTGCAGCCAATTACATCAGGAGATTTCTTCCTACCCACATGCCTTCATCTCCTGCAGTGGAAATGAGAGATTTTCAAGCAGAGCAGAGAATTCCAGGAAGAGGGAAAATCTACGGGGACTACTGCTCAGTTAACACCAAGACCCATACCACTGTTTTTGAGAGTAAGTCACAGAACAGATTTAGTAGACAGAACGTTCACCAGCACCTACTAGTGTGACCTTATATTTAACCCATTGCTTAAAGACAGTCCATTGCCCTCAACATTGTGCATAAAACCAAATCCAATATAAAAAAAATAGATACTCACCTGATCCTTCACTGGAGTTACATATCCCTTCTCTCTCCAGTCAATGGATTTTGGAACTTCCAAGAAGTTTGGCTCAAGGAACTCTGATCCTCTGTATTTCCTTTCTGTTTTGGAGTACTTCAATCCATTCATTATTTGCCTAAACTCCTCATTAGTCTGCAAAAAAAAGAGGAAATACGTCAAGCAACACATCTAAATCATTACTCAGACAAGCAATCCTGCAATTTCAATACGTACCATGTCTCCAAAATGATTCATTCCTAGTCTGTAGCTGTGCTTGCCCAAGCTGTGGTCCAGGTTGTGCAACTCAATCATCTTCAGGTTCTTCTCCCAAATCATTCTCCTCCAGCCTTCCTCTTTCTAAAAGATGGGAGAGTAGGGATGAGGGGAAATTCAGCCTTCTCTAGCAGCTGAATTGGTCTGATCTTGAAATCATGCCAATTCATGGTTTGTGCTATGTACACTTTAGAATTAAAGCCAGTTCAGCTTTCCAATACATGCAAGTCAGGGCATATAGCTGCTCCCCTTCCCCATATACTGCAGGATCCAGCAGCAAAGGCAGCTGCAGTGAGAGATGGCAACTGAGATATCACATCAAAGTATAGCACAAACAGTGTTCTCATTTGCTGGCTAAACACAAAATGACGGTTCATAGTTTCAGACATCACAGGAAACCATAAGTATATTACTTATATGAGGGTTCGGATCAATGCCTACATTGAGCCTTAATAATCCACAATTTCAGAAAGGTACAGAAACAGTCTGGCTCAAACACTCTTTTAAAAAATTAATTGAAGCGTTTTGGTCCATGACGATGCTTTGTGTATATTTTATGAAAAGGCACAATTAATTTAAATGAAACTTATGCAACTCTTAATACGAAGCCCTAAGTTATGTAGCGATTAATGACTTAGGCTAAAAGATGAAAAGAGTTAAACAAGAATTGAAATAATCTGCACTGCTGAAATTGAAAAGATTTTATCACTTTACTCGTGTATCAAAACCCCCTCATATCAAGAGTCTGGGACAAGAGCAAGCTGCTGCTCTCCCCATATGCTGAATTGAGAAATAGCCTCCACACCGTCTGAACATTAGCCATACAGATTGGAGTTTATGGGAGATATAACACAAAACATCTGGTGGACACATACTTTTACTAGAGATCCACTGCTTTGTGGCCTAAGGCTGTGGCCAGCTACTTGACATGTACAAATGGCTGTGACTGGGTCATTTTGGAATGTCTTTTGTTGTTGCACAGAAACCCCAGCCAGTAATACTGACCTCATGGTACTTCTTGCCATGCCAGGTTTTCCATGAGTTCCAGTGTGTATCCAGAGCTGGGTCTAGGTTAGGAGCAGCAAAGCATGCGTCCAAACTGAGGGCCAATATGCACAGATAGAACTTCATTATGAAACCTGTGACAAAAGGAAGATCTACTTAGAACAAGGCATTAACTGAGAAAAGCAATTCAATAGCTCAGTGGTTCTTAACCTTGGGTTACTCAGGTGTTTTTGGACTGCAACTCCCAGAAGCCTTCACCACCAGCTGTGATGGCTGGGGTTTCTGGGAGTTGCAGTTCAAAAACACCTGAGTAACCCAACTCATAGCTGATGAAACCCAACTGCATAGCTGATGAAAAGGCCATACAAATCCTATACAAAGTACTTTCCTATTAGGTGTGAAGAGAATAAAAGACAATTAAAAATAATTTTTGGAGTACTCTGAATCCAGGGAAATCTAGACACTGTAGGCCAAAAGTTAACTTTTTCAAGCTATAGAGAATAAGGTACGGTACTGCCAATGTTACAACATACGGCACCCCATACAAATGGAACTGCAGGTCAGTTCTTATGTAAATATGGTATTTATTAATATGGTATTGAACATAAATATGCCTTTTGCGTTATTAAAATGAAATCTTAACGCCTACATGTATATAGGATTGCAGATATCTAGAGGATTTCTTATTTGTGACTGCAAGAACACACTTACATAAATGAGGAGTGGTAAGGACAAAGGTGAAGAATTGGTTCTGATATGCTATTCAAAAATTCTCAAGTAACCAGATACAGGATGGGCATCTGCTTCCTCCTCCTCACTTAATGAAAACAGAGAGGAGCACAACGCTGTATTTTCTAATCTGGTGGAAACTGGCAAAAATGTTTTATACTGCCTTTTTAAAACCACTGCCAGGTTTGCCTGCTTGTTTTGGAGAACAAGACCCTAACTCAGAATGAGGCTTTGTGGCAGGCCTTCCTTGCTTGAACAAACAGCAAGCCTGCCTACCACACCTTCAAAAGATCCTATGCTTCATCACTTTGATTTTTTTAAAAAATTAGTCCTTGGTTTTTAAAAAAAAATCCTTCATTCATTTCAAACTAAACAAAGCAAGAAACAGCTTTGTATATTGAGATGATACATGATGAGAACTACAAAACTTTGTTACCAAATTTCACTTCTCATTTCAAATTACTTTTGCACTGCATTCTCTCCCCCCACTCCTTTTTTTTTATTCCAGCCTTTGCAAAATACACATTTCTCACAGGCAAGCTGTCTGGGCTAAAGCTAGCAGCCCAGTGTTTTTAGCCGCCTCACAGGACAGAGTTGTGACGCATCTCGCAGGAATCATTTCCGCTGTCCTGACTCCCAGGCGGGGAGGAGATGCGAGGCAGAAAACATCAAAATACGTAAGGAAGGGAGGGGGGGACCGATGCACGTGACCTCCCCCCAAAATAGACACGTGAGCCTCGTTTCACATGACATTCGACCAACCAAGCTCTCTGTGCATAAGCCCCTCGGGTTAGATTTCTAGCGCCAGCTTGCAATAGGGCCGGGAAGGGGAAGGGCAGAGAGGGAAACGTCGGTGCCCCCCCTTTCCCAGCCCCGGACAGGACGATGCCGGTGCAACGGGCCAAGCCGAAGAGGTCTGAGGGGGAAAAGGGGGGCGCGCACGGAGGGGGGGGGAATCCCAGAGCACAGCACGAGAGAGAAGAAGCGCCGGCAGCCGGCTTGTGGTTATCTCCCAGGCGGCCTGAGGGTAAACAAAACCTCACAGGGAAAGGGCAGGATCCGCGCCCCCCCCCCAAAACCCTTCCCTTCTCCCACCTACAACGGAATGGGCAAAAAAGTTTCATCCCAGCCCGGCAACTTAACCCAAGTATTGATTTAACCCGTTAAAAACCACCACCGGGGCCGCTCTCTTTTCCCACGCAACGCCCAGGCATAGGCAGTGCCAGAGACTGGACAGAGATCAGGGAAAATGAAGAGGCGAGGAGACGGGAGGGGGGGGGAGCAAGACCCTGCCGTCATTCTCAGGATCAGGGATCTCTAGGGAAAACAAAGGGAGGGGGACAAGCACACCATCATCACGCACTAACACCTATGGGCGGAAAGAAGCGAAGCTCCTCTGGTCCAACCTCCCCTCCTTCCCGCGTCCGAGGCGCGCTGCCCAGGCTCACCTTCAGCTATGCGTCCCCGTCTCGAGTGTCTCTCTCCGGGCTCCCTGTGGTTCGTTTCGGGCCAGGGGCTCCGCTTCTTAGCCTTTCCAGGCCGGAGCTGGCCCAGCCTCTTCTGCGCTTGGATTGGCTGGAAAGCGCTTAAGGCGGTGCCCGGGCTAATCCTGCAAAAGTTCGTGACTCGGATCCCGTGATGCGAGGCGTGTTCGGACCTGGGTGCGGGGCTGGGGAGGCCGGGGGGGGGATGATGGAGAGCGTGATGTTTGCTGAAAGCGGTGGGGCAGGCGAGGGCAAGGACGCCTGCTCTGGCTTGGATGAGGGGCGAGCCAAAAAGAAAGAAAGAAAGAAGAACCCGCAATGGGAAGGGAAATAATCTGTTACAAATAATCTGCTCCTTCCCCGATTGAAGGACGCCAAGGGTGGGTGAAAGGTGGATGATTCATGGCCGGCGACCCAGAACCAGTCCCCACGTACCCGATGTTCGCCAATGGAGCCGATCTGTATTGAAATCGTTTCCACTTCCCGGGGTCAGGGAAGCTCAATAACAAATCTGCAGATTTTTGTGGAATTGCTGCTGATGGTGACTGGGGTTGAAAGAAATGAGCCTCCCAGCAATAAAGGGAGCAAAAGTTACTGCTGACCACGTTTCTCTTGGGGATTCTGGGAGTTCCATTCTGAAAGTAACTTTTCTAAGCTATTCTCTCTGTAACCCTGTATGCTTTCCGATTCCAGCCTTTCCTTGGAGAACACCTCCCTGCCTTTCCCCAGCCTCAAATACAGTAGTAATTACTAAGTCGTTATCAATTTAGGGCAACCTCTTGCCCTGCTTGGTTCTGGCAAACTAAATACAGTATCATCATGGCTTCCTTTAGCGAGTCAATCTCGTGTTAGGTCTTTACTATTTTCCCACTGTCCTCCACTTTTTGAAGCAGTGCTGCTTTTCCCAATGAATCCTATCTTCTCATATGTCCAAGGTACAATACGTAGTTTCAGTTTTAAGTCATTTCAGTTTTGAGTGAAATTTCTTAGTTTACCCACAAAACAGCCGTACACATTGGCTTTCCTTGCAGCAGCTCATGTCTCAGTTTCATAGTTTAATTACAACTGTCGTGTCATGCTTGGGAGACCAGCTACTAGACTTCCTTGGGCTTCTGAACACAGCACTCCAGCAAAACATACATTTGATGAAGTGGGCTGTAGTTAAAAGATTGTGTTACATAAAATGTGGTTGTCTTTAAGGTACTACAAGACTTTAATAAACTGACATGCCTATACAGTACATGCCCCCAAAATCTGAGGAAAATATTATTCTTCCATTCTACATGTTCTAATATTTAACAGTGCAATCCTATTATGTACTAAGAAGTAGAACCAATTAATTTCAGCTAGGCATACTCCTGTGAAAATGTGCATGTAGCTTCTGCCTTATTTTCCTTAAATAATATTATTTGATGTAAACATTTTAACACTGATAGATATGATAAAGCTGTAACCCTATGCACATTTACCTGGGAGAAAGCTCCAGATTTCCTTAGGACAAAATTGCATTATCATTCTCTAGTCTTACCCCCATTGATTTGTAAGTAAATCCCATTAAACTCAGAGACTTTATTTCTGGCTAACAAAAATTGGGGTGCATAGCTACAATGCACTGACAGCTTGTATTCAGAACACGCAGGAAACTGGCAACATTTTGCTATCACATGGGTATCTTTAATGTGTATTTTGAGCCCAATTGCAAAAACAATAGCTATATATTACTGTACATTTATTGAATATTTAACAGTAAAAATGTATAATGCCCACATATTGCTTTACTTGTACTTAAGATGATGGATTGCTATTATTGAAATACAGTATAGATTATTATTTGTAGATTAGAATTACTTTTATATTTCCCATTTTACTGTCCTTCTGTGCTTCTTTTATATTTTTGGACTTTTACAGTTTATAGAAAAATAATTCAAAGTTTTAAACAACCCTTCTATTTTAATAGTCTGTACTGGAGAGTTAACAGTGATCCACAGTTAACTAGATAAATAATATTTGTTAGTTCTGTATTTTTTAAAATATAATTGATCAAATTAAAAATTCTAATTGACAAAATGGGCAGGGTAAATCTGCGGTAATTATGTATCCACCTCAAGCCCTGTCAATATGGAATCACAGCTTTGTTAAAAACCACATGATCCCTGAAGTCATGTGAAGGTTTCCCATTGTCTTTTAGGTGATTGAATTGTCAGGTTGTAAATTAAACCTGAATAGGTTAGAAACAAATTTTCCTAATATGAGTTAAAGAATACCATGATTCCTTGATAGGTAATCTGAATGGCTTAAGTTAAGGGCTGATAATATGTGAACCATTGAAGACTATAATGCTTGCTGTAGGGTGGGCTGATGATCTAAGGTCCTTTGAAATAAAAATTGTGATGTAAATTTCCACCAAAGTGCTTACATGTAGGATATATTCAAAAATTGGTGTTAGTTAATCTGGAAAAAAAAATGGTTGCTGGTGACTATGAATGAGTGAGCTCTGAAATGTCCTGTCCTTGACTGCTCTACTCAACTCTTGCAAACTGCCCAAAACTTGGGTTATTGGGTGTTTGGGTAATGAAATAAATAAGTGAATGAACAGACCAACATATGGAATCAAAGAAAAGACTTTTAGAGTGTAACTTACAGAAGCTTACATTCTAATTTCCAGTTCTGCACTAAATTCAATAAACAGATTACCCAAGAAACTGAGGAGGTGCTGCGGTCTAAGGAAAACTGTAATAGTACTGTGAGATCTTTTTGTTATTGTTGTGTACTGTTGTGTACTGTCAGGTTGCCTTTGACTTATGGTGACTCTAGGAATAAGAGCTGTCGAAAATGAACTGTCCTCAATTGCCTGCTCAGCTCTTGTAAACCCAAGCCTGTGAGTTATTTTAGGGAGTCCGTCCATCTCGTGTTTGGTCTTTCTCTTTTCCTGTTGCCTTCCGCCTTTCCCAGCATTAATGTCCTTTCCAGAGAATCCTGTCATTTCAAGATGTGCCCAAGTAGGACAACCTCAGTTTCATCATTTTTGCCTCAAAGATAGTTCAGGCTTGATTTGATCTAGGATCTGTCTTTCTGGCATCCAAGGTGTCAGGAAAACTCTATTCCAGCACCATATTTCAAATCCACAAAAAGATTGTGGATGATCATGGTCTTGGTCTCCAGTGACACATCCTTTCCTTTGATTATCTTTTCTAATTCCTTCATTGCCGCCCTTCCTAGGCTCAGTCTTCTGATTTCTTAGCTTCAGTCTCTGTATCACGCCTGTATAAAATGAAGGATCATTATCTTTTGACCCTACTTATAGAGCATTCCTCTAGGATTTTGATGATGTTTTCTTTATCTCAGTGCCTGGGGCTGGCACTTAAAGGGACTTCAAGAGTCCCTGATTCCGGGAGTTCTAGTTGACAGCCAAACAACATTTTTCCCCAAGCATGTGTTTACTCAAATGTCTGCTTATATAATACTGTAGGTTCCTCTGGATTATTGCTCCAGCTGAAAAAATCATCTTTTTAGCCTCAGTTTATCATAAAAGGAAACACAAATACAAGTGCAAAAAAAATTACAGATGCAAAAAAAAAAAAAAAAGAATTGTAATGATTGTCCTATTGTGCCAAGGCAGGCGAATGAGATAAAAATGACTATGTAGCTTCACAGACGATGGTTACGCAGATACAGTACTGAAAATAAAAGAGCCAAAACAAGCAATCGGGAGTGGCCATGTATCTTGCCAACAATTAAAAAAAAACACGGATAGAAATTTGCCCTCTTTCTTTCCTCCCTCTTGCAGCCTTAACAGTGTTTCGCCTGCTAACGTTGCACAACGGAGATCAAATTGCAAACATCACGGGATCTGCAGTTTGTTCATTCCCCCCTCCCCTTCCCGGACTGAAGGGAAAGGATTCTCTCCCTGCCTCCATTTCCCCGCCCAAGCGAAGGGGTGCTTCGAAGCGGTCTCCTTTAGGCACATTTTTCCACAGATTGTCGTCAGATAGGTTTATGTTAGTATTGTTGTAATAGTTCTCTACCTATTGTCGTCTCTCAGGTTACAGGTGCAAAGAGGAGGTAACCTTCATTGCAGGGGGGAAAAACCCCACGTCTAGCAGGCTGTGAAATGTGCTGAGGGAAATTGTAACATTACGTTTTGCTGTCAAAAGTGGCAACCTTTATTCTACTTCTAATTATTTAAGTTCATTTGTAGCTAGGCTGTCTCCCCATTCTGGAACCCAAAGTGACTTCCAAAATGGTGAGAGAAGCTCAAGTCATATATACATCAAAATATTAAAAACGCCATGGAACATTCAGTATATGGTTTATTACAATATCATTTTATTCCTTCATCTATTTTCATTTCTGTGCCCCTTTTCTCTTAATTGACATTGGGAGGATCACAATTTTAAAAATGCAATTAGCTATTATCACTATTATATGTTATATATTTACTTATGCTATTAGAAGAGTTAGTCACGTGAGTCTGTGCGAGCAGGTCAGGCAAAACCGAAACAACCAAACCAAAAGACAAAAATGTTGTGGCATCTTGAAAACTAACTGCTATATTTTAATGTTAGCTTTTGTGGAGAAGTCCACTTATGGACAAACAAATCACTATTTGCTTATTTGCATTCAGTTCGGAACCAGATAAGAAATGTGCAACAGGACTGTAAATCATTCAGTTAAAACATTTTTCTGCTTTTTCATAACTTCCAACCTATGTGTTGTAATGTCCACAACAAAGGGCAGATAATGGAAAAAGTTGAAATGGGGTTCCCTTCCATGTTTTGGGGTCATGGCCCTGCTCTAGTCACAAACCTTATAATTCAAAAGCACTATAAATGTTTCAGGTGTTTTCTTTGCCTGAAATGTAGCCCAAATGCTATTTCACTCTACTTTGGCCAACTTTTCAGGAAAAGTTGCTACACCATCCAGTAACCAAACTGTTTTGGTTTATATTTCCATATGCTGTTCCTCAGTCCTGCCTGAAGCATGACCATTGCACTTCCAAGGTCCAGCTGCAATTTTGACAGAAAACTTGCTCTGTGATATGTAAAATATGTTCCTGGTCTAAATATTGGAATTGTTATAGTTGGAACCAAATATAGGAGGCTATGTGTATACATTTTAAAAATACTTGTTCCCTATGTTTCCTAGATGGTAATCACAGCTCAGTGTTTTCAGTCTGTGCATGTAATCATCTGTATTGCACATTTGAGAAAACCTTTATTGATAATAAAATAGATTTATATATTTTTTAAATCTTGTGTTTTTGTTTCAGTTATAAATTCATTTCTTTTTATTTTGGTGAAATGAAGCAGCAGCTCTTAAGAAGAATAGGGAAAATAACACAAGGCTCACAGTGTGTGCTTTGAACCGTGACTTGGATGGGAAAACAAGCAT